AACTGCTGCAAAATGGAAAATAAAGTAAGCCGGAACTAAAAAATACATTTCGAAGCCACGTTAAATATTATCAAGAAACTGTCCAAGGGATGAAGCAGGTTCCTTGATAACTCAAATTCTCGCAGGACATGGCGAATTTTAATAATATCTACACAGATTTCTTCTGGCATTGTCATCTGCTATTAGGGAAAGGAGAATGATGCAACCCAGGGCTTGCTGATGTGTGACAGGTTGGATGGCATACCGCCAGAATTAAGGTTCCGACGAAATAGTAACGAAATGGCTCGTTTAACTCATGTGCGGCACGACGAACAGATGGGCCATTGTCGTCTTGGTAGCCTCATAGAGAGCAAACGACTGTGTCAACTTGAAGGGATTGGTTGCGTCATATTGCTGCAAAAGGACGATGTCAGAGTTAGATCAGGTGCTTGTGATCTTACCACATTTGTTGTCGGCTTGATCTGATAGCCAAGCCTACAGTGGGTACAAGGGTTTACAGTAGTAGTTTTGAATGGTGTATATGAGCCTTTTAAGCAAAAAAATATCTCGTCATTTAATAAGAACAACATTGCTTAAACAATTATAATACATGGCATATACGAAAAAAAAAAAACTAGCCGATGTGGGTCGTCAGATCTATCTGCTCGTCTAAATATTCGGTTGGAAAAGTTTTGCTCTCTAAAACCTCCCTTTTTTTAGTTTCCTTTAAGTGTTTTTATAAATAGTTTGGAAGCATGCTTATTGCTTTGTCAACGTGATGTAACAATCTTGTTCTGGGTGCAATTTCATTCTAAAAAAAACTTCTCAGAAATGAATGTTTCAGGTATAAAAAACGTCTATGTATTACGCATTTTATAGCGGCCAAAGCACTGTCGAAGATCTTGATCACCTTCATTGTGCACAGCAATAAGATTCAAAAAGGAGTGCTCAAAAGTGACTTTTAAACTTTGAAAGTGGTATCCAGAACCAAGATCTGACCGACCGCCTACGTTTGACAACGGCTATACGAAAGAGCAAGTTAAGTTTTTTGGGTTTATCCAAAAACGCGGAGCTCGGGTATCTCTTAAATTTCCGGAATCTGACGACAAGTTACGGCTTAACGGTGCACTTCAAAATTTCCCCCAGTACTGAATGTCACGTGGCCACAATGACCGACTCTTGCACAGAGTTATCACCGGTGACGGAAAAAGGTGTGTGTACCAAGGCCAACGAGAAATAGAATCGATGGCTTCAGGAAATAAGCCAAGGCCCAAAGCATGATCAGATTTTTATCCAAAAAGAAATTGCGGTTGATGGGGTTTCAGGAGCCTGATTCACTGGGATCGAACCAGATCGTATATGGGCATATCTGGCCAATAAACGTTCTGTTGGCCTAGTTGCACCGAATCAACCAAGCTATTAGAGAAAAAAATCTGGCAAAGAAGGTTACCTCATCTTGCTTCGTAACAACGAATAACCACACGCCACAAACGTCCTCAAAGCTGCTCCCCTGGATTTCAAATGAGAGATTTCGCTGCATCTCATATTCTCCGGACCTACCGCCATCAGGTCTTTACCAAAACCGTCTATAAGCAAGCGAAACTTAATAGCAAATAAAAGCTGGTTAGACGAGTTCGTTAAAATTAAAGCTGAAAACTGCACGAAAGAATAAATAAATCGGTTGACCAATGGGAACAAGGTGAACAATTACGGAGCATATATAATAACGATTCTGTTTGGTGAACAGGGGGCGGAGACCCCCAGCCACGAAGTGTGACAAGAAAATCGCTCTATATAATAGAATGTGGAGTGAATGTAGATAAAGGGGGAACTAGTAATAGTGGGTTATTAAAAAACAGGTTATATTAAACATCGCCGTAGTCAAAGAGGGCTAGTTAAAGCTCGTTTAGAGAGACCGAATTTGAATTATATCTCAATGTAATACGATTTTTCACTGATATGTTTGACTCCAGACTCAAATAAACTCTGTGCAAATATAGATAATCGCGATCATTATGCATTAGAGAAAACTGATAAATTACATTTATCATTGAATTTATATTTTTTATCTTATAAATCACAATATCCACTAATTGAAATATCGCATATACCGATAAAAGAAACTAGGAAATGATTCAAATGTATTAGTCATAATTATAATAACAGTAATAGTTCAGTAAAAGGACATGATTTTTTAAGCAGAGCTGACAGCGGCCGGCAGGTTTATTGTCAGCAGATATTGACACATCGTACAACATCTCTTTAGGCTCAAAGTACATGTATCTACGATAACACATATAAATATAACCAAATTTTATTAAGCTATGTTGAAGAATACAAGTAGCCGATAAATGGCTGTAAAGACAAAGGATCGTGTCAAGTCAAACGTGTACTAAAAGTAGTATTGTCTGTTTAAGCACATTGCATGTGCTTTTTCAATTTTACTTATTTCAAGTTATTTTTATATTGCGTGAAGCTGTACATTGGTGAGTAATTGTTCGAGGTACTTTGGAGCGGGTGCTGTTTAAGGATGAGTTTTTATTCTGTTTGAGATGTGTTTGGTTGCATGAGGAGTTTGCGGTAAACCCGCTTAATGCTTACAGCCTACTAAATTTCAGTTGACAACTAGTCGTAAAATAATGGCTAGACTTCTCAGCTGTATTGAAATGAGCTGTATAGATGTTTGTACAAATGACCGCCCTAAAAATGTAAAGGGTATAAAAATCGATTTTTTTATTACCATGTTCCGTCAGTGATTTTAGCATTTTCATGACATATCTGGAAGCTTTTTTTCGAGATTGACGAGGGGCTGTCTGAATAAAACCAGGCATTATGAAAAGGTGGGATCGTACGAATGAGGAATAATTCCTTTACATGAATATCCTAACGATGTGCTTGTTAGTTTATATAATACGGCGTAGCCAATATGCTTTTTCCTTAATGTAGTTTCAATATATATGTCCCATTTGTGATTGGCCTTTATGTCGTTCCTAAGTATGAACTTAGACAATCATGGTCATTGATCATTAGGAAGGTAGATGGTCCAACTGAGTAGTACGACCGCATATAATTACTTCTGTATAAATAATACTTAACAAATAATTGCTCATTATTCTTGTATGCCGGAATGACTTCACTTATATTATTGTTCATTACCTAAGGAAGTACGCATTTGAAACCTAAAATAATCTAATTGCTTTACTTAAGTTGAATTTATAGTGTTTTCGTTTTATTTATATTGAGCCAGAACCAGTTTACACTTAGCTTAATGCTAATATTTATAGAGTCAGCGAGCAGCGCAATTTTGATGCCAGCACAGATTTCATGGAAGCGATTTGTAGACGTGTTAAGGAGCATGGGTCCCGTATCGAAACTCTGTATTTCTTATTTGGCATGATGATGATTATTTTATTTTATTATTGCTCTGTTTTGAGGAACACCGTAGGGATCATTGACTATCTAGGAAAGCTACGGCCAACAGTGCCAAAATATCTGGTAGAACAAGCAAACCAGACCCACATTCGTCTAATAGACAACCTGGAAGCGAAAAAGACTCCTCTCATTTCTCAAGAAATATCGAAATAATGATTCAGACCTTCCTAAAGGTTAAGTGTCAAGAAGAGGTAGAAATGCAGAAAGACCGGGATAAAGAATCTTTTAGCAGAAAACTCCGATGACTTTACATATGTGGTGAAGATAATATGCCCAGAGGAAAGTAGCTCCGGAGTGGCAACGAATCATCTTAGGTGTCACTAGAACACCTGCAAAACCCCTCACAGACCCCACAACTTTCCCAATCTTTTCCCTAGACACGGTTGGGAACGCTGTCAAGGCTCTTCCATCGTATTTAAAAGACTAGTGGAGAAAGTGGGAGGGAGGCGCGCTTTCGGTTGCTCAATACGGACGTAGTAGAGGCTGATCCACCAAAACGGTAATTAGCACGGTTTTATCTATAAGAACCCGAAAGGCAGGAGAACAGAGACCAACGGTTATAAGAATTATGTGATTGTCCTACTAGATCTACTTAAGCTTTGGATTCTCTGAAATGGCAGGTGATCATAAATTAAATGGCTAATTCTTGAAAGTATTTTTCTACATTCTCAAAAGCTGCCTCCTTCTTTAGTAAATGCGCCATTAGGCGTGGACAAAATAACTCGCCATTACATGCAGTAGTAGCAATCGAGGGCTCAACTAAGTACCTAGGCGTTACAATTGGTCAAACCTTCAAGAAGGATCTTTGCATTGATAAGGTGGCTAAGCATGCAACAAGAGTGGCGAACAGCACGACAAATTCTTGCCGAGAGCACAGGAACCCGCAAGAAGAAAGCTCTTGGCAACGATGGTTGAACTTGTCGTGATATACGCCTCGTGCACAAGAAAAATTACCGCAATGAGACAGATCAGGAAGTAGGTCAACCTTCTGAAAGTACAAAAAATGCGTTGAACAAAAGATGTGAAAAGTTCCAGATGTAGCTGTTCTGGAAGCTTGAGTGTCAGATTAGTGAGGTTGAGCTACAAGCGATAAAGAGCTGTTGTGTGCACGAGAAAGAGTGGATCATTTTGGCCCCTTTTAAGGTACCTTTATGATATTTTGGTGGTAACAGTTAGACCACTGGACTTTGGTACTAAATATCGAATTGAATCGTCTAAACCAACGGATTTGTGGAAACCTCAGAATTAGAATTCAGAATCATATTAAATTTGAAGGCAAAAGTCTGAGCCTTCGAGTCTCTCACCTTTCATGGAGGCGCTTTCTTCTGTTCGCCTATCACGTTAGCCGTTCTTTTCAGGATTTCCTATCTCTAACACTGGAAATTCATAGCAATAATATTAGCCTCCTACCCTGCATATTAGTGCAAATAGACTTTGTCAATTTTGACTTTCAATTTGCGGCTGGAGAAAATCAAAAACAGGTTGCTAGAATCAATATTATTGCTGAGTTTTTGAGTGAGACCCAGTTGATCTTTATTAAATAATCATTAAAATAAAAAATGCTTCTCTTTTATTCGTTCTTGTTTTAGGGGTCGACGTTGAACTTTTTTCTCATTAGCCGCATGGAAGGCAGTGGCAACGGCTGGTACTTTTGGTTTCTTGCGGACTTCGCTGTTCTTCTGATTACCATGAGGTAGGTCGCTATTCACTGTCTTGTCGACAAGCGTTGAAGCTTACGTTACGTGAGCTGGCAGCTATGACACAGAAAAACTTCCTGATTTTACAAACACTTTGCCGGTATAGAAATAAGGAACTGTTTTATGTTTAACTTTAAAGTAAATAAATTAAGCTGAAGATACTCCTACTATTATAAATAGATGAATCTTCCTCTAATATCTATCTAATATATAATATAATATAGGAACGTGTTCGTGTACCGATTTGCCTTAGCTTTAGATCTGATTTCGCTCTTCGTCGTTTGTCTAACAATATTTTTACAACAGTGACGATTATAACCTAGTTAGTATAAATAGGTTTCGTAGCATGAAATCAACTATTGCATGGGCTTGTTCCAGTGTCTGGGATACAAGCTATTCTTAGCTAAAAACACTTGCTGTCTCTGAGTGTTATCCTTTACTTAAATACAAGAACGTTGTTACAATATATTTGTTCCTGTAACTATTTAGGTTCTGTGCTAAAGGCTAAGATTAATGTGTATGCCGGCGTACATTATGTTTGAGCCGTAAGAAATTCAACCGCACTAGCGACACATTAACATATCAACTGTACATGACAAAATAAGGGAACCTATAGCTCGTTGACGATTTATAAAGATCCATTATACCGTAAATAATCGGTATTCTCATTATAGAATAAGAAATAGTTATGTGCTACATCTGCTTAAACTGCAAGCCTACGTTTGATCCTTTTCGATTCGAACTGTAAGATTTGTGTTTCAAAAACTGTGAGTCTGCATTTTAATTTCATTTTTTTTCTGCGCTGATTTTCAGTAATAATATACAGTCTATCTTAGTTAGTTTTAGCTGTTTAGTTTAATAGTCTTGGCCCATGTTCTGCTTTAATCCAATGTATCTCAATGTAGGCCAACAAAAAAAATTTGCAATTAGCTCGAATGAACACTCACTGTTCATAATCGCTGTGCACTATTTTTATGCAGTGTACGCTGAACAACGTATTAACAAGGGAAAATAGGTTCCTCCTGTTGGTGCTAACGTCTATGAAGAACATATAAATTGTCACCCAGGGCTTTCCCATTAAATACAAAACGTGCATGTAAAAACATTATGGTCTTGATCGAGAAGTGTACTTTGTTCTAAAAATCGTGTTTGACTTGTCCGGTATGAGCATCTCTAGTTTGATTTTTCCTATGAGGTCCAGATTTTGCGAGCCAATACATAATGAAAGTTTTAGGGGCATGTTATTTTGAAGGTGTCTGTGGGGCAGCGGTCAGGGCTGGCGTGAAAAAAACCTATACATTTTGCGCAAACGTCGATTTGAGAGGGCATTATTTTAGTTTAGCCGATATATCTTAAGGATTTAAGATTTTCTATTAGTATACTAATACTTGGAGTTATACTATGGTCCGAGCATATGTGCTGAATGTTAAAAACCGGACCAGCCTACCGAAACGTTTAAAAAATCTCACGTTTTGCTTAATTTTCAATAGTCCTTTTGTGAAACGGGATCAACACATCAACGGCAGTCGACAACACGCACCGTCTCAAAGAACTACTTTTATGGTGTTAATATTAGTGATATGAAAGTTTTTTTTCAATTTTCAGTAGGCAGTCTAATCACGAAGTTAGCGGTATATTACTGGGGAAATAGCTGATAAAAGCGAACGGAGAGGCATCGTTTTGCACGTAGAAATTCTGAAATGTTAGGTAACGCATGATGGGCAAAGTTCCTTGAAATTTTAAATAACTTATTGCGTATTGTTTAATAATAGTAAATAGAAGGTAAACATATAAAGCAAATACAAAGGGATGAAAGTTTTATTCTATGTATACTTGATAGTTAACTTGTTTGTTATTTTAATTTAAGACGAACTTCTTCTGTTCTGTTGTCGCATAAATTCAGAAGAAAGGGGGTTGATATTTGGAAAGAATTGTTATTAGGACTTTTTTTTTTCTATATGTAAACTGAAAATCAAATCTATACGGTAGCGATACATTTCGAGTGGAAAAATAGTTGTCATCATCATTATTTATCAAGCCTAACAAAAATGAGATCTTGCAATGAGCGCAATCATTGGTAGCTATTACTATAGAAGTTACCTAGTTAGCCAGCTGGTAAAAGATGATGTACCTGAATCAAATTTTAAGACTCAGAAATGTAATTAATTCTGTAAGCATGTAAAATGATCGACAAAATACACTTTAAGAAAATCTTGAAAGCATTTAACCAAATCAAAACAAAACGCCAAACAACCGCAGAATGGAATTATCTCTAAATTGACCGTTAAAATAATCGATCAGGTCTAGGTCGTCTGCTCGACCACTAATGATACAACAAACGTACACTCTTGAAGTTGTACTCGTACTAAATATGTGGGCGAATAGAAAGGAGGTAATCGAAAAAAGCGCAGTTGCTTGGCGGTAGCTATGGTAATTTTTTCCTCTGTTTTTTATCGAACCGAGTCCATCAGTCATTTTGTGGCATTCGATATCGACGGATTGCTTAGCGGCCGGCTAACGGCTTCGTTACAATTCCGTCACGTTTATAGCGAACTCTGCATTTGTTAGCACAAATTGCAATCGTATGTTCTCGTCCTTTCAGTGCGGTATTTGTCGCAAGGCGCCAACAAAATCACCGACTTCTCGTCATTGGCAGCATTCAAGGTACAACCTCTGAAAACGTAACTCTAACACGGGTACTCTCACAACAGCCATGTCTGCAGCAACAGGTTAGAAAATTTTGGTTTTTTTCTTTCATCACGGTTAAGCGAAACTCCTTGTCTGGCTTGAATAAGCTAAAAAATTATATGTAGCAGCATTTTTCGACCGCAGGACGACGTCAACAGTTGACCTGTTGTTACCCCATCCAAATATTTTATCAGTCTTGTTATTTTGCTATAGTTATGTGACCACACTTTTCTAAGATTAAAGAATTTCAACTTGTAGTTCTCCCAAACTAATCTACCCTACGGCAGCACTATAAGGTATACTATGCTGCTACAGTTATCATGTTCTTCTAAGATCACTCTCTTGGTTGCCTGATACCATTATGCTATCACCTTAATTTAGCTAGTTGATTGCTTTATTAGAATAAATTTATCATTTTCTGTCAGTGATCCTGTTGATTTGATTGCATGACCCTGTTCTCGTATTTACTGCTCTGTTACTTAGACTTACTCTCTGTTACAAGAAGAACTTTTGCACTAACTTAATTACCCTCTCTGTTTCGAATTTTACGTCCGGTATCACCGTTACACACTTCAACGAAATGTCCCCGCAGGTTGGTTACGTCGTTGTTGCTATTACTATTAGCTAATCCATCCTTTAAAAGTAATTGGCAGTTCCGCTACGTACATTTTGTTGCTTCAATATATATTATAAAGCACAGCGATGGTTTCATTCTAAGATTTCTACCATGTAAAAACAGCTTTAAACGTGTCGGTGTCATTATAAGAAATTTCAGTACGATGCGGTAAGCCCTATTCACCAGCTTTAAAATTGTAAGAGGCGTTTTAGGCCCATGATGCTATAATATATACAGATAAAAAAAAGATGCGACTTTTTCTTTGTAGTATTTTTATTAACCGTTTTTCGTAATTGTCGCAATCATTCCTCAATATAGCCTACTTTAGGTCACGTTAAATTGATTCAGTAGAAACTGATTAAATTGAATAAAGAAGTTGATTAGAGTTGAAGTTATGATGCACTAACTTCGACATTTAAATGCTCAACACTTGGAATTTTTAAAACTCCTGAAAAGAAAAGGCCGTTCCTGCAAGGGACAAGCAAAACAGAAAAAAAACTACAAAACAGGCAACTCATAAGCAAGATCCAATAAATTCAAAAACGAACTTGGGTTAATCTATCCGAGTGCAAAGCATGGGCCATACGAGGCGCCACTTCTAATTTTGATGATATACGATATCTTATGGCATTGTAAAGTTAAAAACTTTCTATAAATTCGGCAAATCAACAAATTCATACAAATGTTTAAGCAATCAAAAAATCGAACAAGCAGTACTCATAATTATAAAGATGAAAACTGTTTGGACTTTATTGCGAGAAGGGTTTTTCAAAATACCAATATGCCGTTCCGATATGAAAATGGCCGCGGCAATGAAAGAAAAATAGCCGAAAATTACACATACTTCAATGAAGTAAAACAGATAACATGTAACACACAATATGCCATAAAGGTCTTATCAACAATTAAGTCTTTATTGAGACTAATTTTTGGTAGGCAACCGCAAGACACGATTCGCCAAAATATTTTAATGCAAAAATAAAGAACGAGAAACAAGGTGTAGAAAAGAGAAAAAAAAAACATAAGAAAGAAATAAAAAAAAGAAGGTTAAAAAACGTATAAAAACGTGTCGCCATAGTCTTCATGTTATTTAAAGAAAACGTTTTTCGTCACTGGAAAAGACAAAAGAACTGTACATAAAGACGACTTACATGTAGTAACAATAGTTCTGCTTAGGTCCTCTGTTCTCTTTATGTTACGTTAAAATAACCCTGCCAGTAGTTACATACGAGCTTACTGCAACCTCGAAGGGGCTCTTCACGGCCAGCCTCAAGAACATTTTTTAATTTGTTTATTTTTTTAAATTAATGAATTAATTTAACTTTAAAAGTAGTCCTGGATCTGTTCAAACTGTTGTGATACGGCTTTAATAAGTTTAAATCTTTAAGGAAGGATATTTAAAATAATGTTTTCCCATGAAATGACGTAGACTCGGAAATAGACAACCATGGAACTTTTGCTTTAGTGAAAAGCGTTGGAAAGCATAACCATAAGGTTCCGGGTCTAATAATTTAAGAAAGTATGTCCCTTTGCCGCACGAACAACACCATCGAAGCTGTCTGGTTAGTTAATTTTAGCCTACTGCAAAGTTTTAAAAAACGGATGTCATCGAGAGAAGAGAATTAAAGTGAGGGAACAGAAAAAACAAGATGCACCTAAGGTTGAACTATATCATCATGTGTATGCATTTCACGCAAAAAGGCTTATATCTTTAAACCGAAAATAAGAAAATAAAACAATATTGACGTAACTCAGTTTTCTTTTCAAAGAAGTCATGGTGGTATTTTCTGCTGAGCTTAAGCCGTTACTATTTCTATTATAGCAGTATTTATCAGAACAGAATCATTTTACACGGTGAGCCTCTTCCCGTTTTCTAAACATACAGTCAGATTTTTCAGGACATAGATTTCAGTTCTCATTATCCTTAGTATTTTACTATATCTTAAGCATATGGTTATGAAGTTGATTTCTGTATAAAGGGACTAATTTTTTAAGTTAATTAATGGACAGGTAGCTTCTAAAATTCTATTGGTGTCCTGACAATCAACTTCCAATAAACAGATAAACACAAGCTTTTTGGTGTGGAAACATTATGAAATTCGTGTACAAATATATGAAAAATTAGTACAGGCTGTGGCAGATAGTGCAGCTTTTCGAGCACAGTGTACCGCTTTCCTCGTATCTATAAGATAGCCATTTTAGATAGTTTGTGCTTAAAATTGAGTTATACAAATGGACCAAAGAAACTGATTAATAACTGAGATCTTATGTAGCAAGCACGTGCCTATTGAGTAATTCGAAGAGACACATACTCAGTAATCAGTCACATTAGTAATTAGACATCAAATAGGTTATCCCATATATGATAAACTTTCGTCAACATGAAAGAAACGTCTATGTTATTAACTGAGAACATACGACATGTATTCATTGTTGCCTATTTCTAAGTATCCCGTCCACCAATAGGTCTTATAGTAAAAAAATTAAACAAATGACAGCAATTTGCGCTTTGGTCTAAAAAAATAATACCAAGCATGGGTGTCTTCTCTAGCCGGGAGTACTATTATTGCTTGTAAAATGAAATATTAAGGGAAATTTTAGTTATCAGTAGGCAAATATAATTCGATTTTGAAGGTCTTTTACATCTGGTTTTTTTTTGGGATGCGTACGATGTGGTCTTGTTTAACTTCAACGCTGGAGGAATTTTCTGACCTATTGCTATCTGTTAAACCTCATCGTTTGAGAAGAGGCTGATGCTTTGCAAAGGTCAGATAGTAGCAGATATTTCCTATATTTGGGTGCTTGTCGTGTTCGCAAGAGCTGACATTCAGTGGCTACCCTTATATCTAAACCTCAGGGCACTCCACACGCTTAAAGCAATGTTAACAATAGTAATCACTTGCCATGGTTTCGCAAAGAGTGCATATGATTACTGAGATATGAAAGTTCGAAAACACCTTCTATACGAACGTTGCCATAACAACAGAAACTTTACCGTTTGTTGAGGTAACCTTATATTTTATTTCTACAGGGCCGCATGGTGCCTAATAATCCATATGCATTATAGCCAAGGAACGGAGTGTCTTCTGTGTGGTAAACACCGCGGTTAGTAATCGATCTTAATTCGCTTTGTTAATACTCGACAAAACAAAACTGGAGAATGGCTACAAGAGCTTAATCAGGCCATGAAAGAACGCAAACGAGCTTCTCCTGGATGATTTTAGAATGGAACCTTTTTGGATAGAATTTAATAATGTCCACGTCAGTGCGTTCCGCTAACCTGTGAGTGCTCTAAGGGTAACCTCGTGGGCTGCGTTCATCGTTGTGACCGGAGATTAGGTAGAAGGTAGCAACACTCGTTTTGTAAGGCAGGCTGAATGCATTGTTTGCTCTTTTTGTAACAGAAGGGGACACGCTAAAATGGAATCTCTGCAGTCACGAGCTCTAAATATCCAATCCAAATTAGCTAGATTATTCGTTTTTAAGGACTATGTTTTATAATTAATGTAAAATTGAAAGATTCACAGCTGAAACGGTCAGCCGAAGCCTCAGTATTCAAGATCGGATGTGAAGAAAACTATTTTTCAAGACCCAAAATTACGCCTTGTTATGATAAAGTAGACGAGTAAGGCCTTGAAAGAATAAACGTCTATATATATATATATATATATATATATATATATATATATATGATTAATTACTGATGGCTAGTTAACGATCAGACTTCGTCGTTGCTACAGATTTGCTGATCCTTCAGTAGGATCGCGAAATGCAAGAGGAAAATTTCACCTCGTTTGCAAGGGTTTGCAGATGCAAGAGCCCTTGACTCTGACGGCAGCCGGTCGGCGAAGTTGCTGAAAGGAATTCCGGACCTGGGGGCGGACCGCAACGGTGACGCGCCGTCACGTTCATACGATGCGATACTCCAGAGCGAGATTATCAACCACGGCCTTGACTTTGAACAGATTAGAACGCACCAACTAGCAAGTCCATGCTGGGCACTAGTGGTGACGATGGTTAAGATAGATGGCAAGTTTGTTCTGCCATGAAAAAACAAAGAGGTAACCGAATTCCTATAATGTAGGGCCCCACATAACCATTCTGGGCCGCAAGAATTCTGACTGGTTTTTTCACGATTGGCATAACCAGTGGTGTTCGTTAGTTGCGGCCAGGGTTACCCGGGTTCGACGACCGTACACTGATACAGGCCCCGCGGCTTTCGAACGAAGAGTATGAAGGAGCGCTGGGAGTATAGTTCGCTTTTACAGTCTGTCAAAGAACTAAATTGAGCCATGGGTATCGGCTGCCCAGACACCCGGCAATGATTCCGGCGATTGTCTTCACGGCAAACACTAGGGCAAACAAGGCCCTGCGGACAGCTTCATAGTTATTCTTCATAGTTATTTTATAGGGTCGAGGCCATATTTTCTAATGAGCTTCTAGAGTTGCGGTCAGTTTAATCGCTCGCTCTCAGTACCCATGTATCGGAAGTCGGCCCACGTCCGACTCGTCAAACAACAAAAGCATGACAACACCGCCTTGACGCCAGTCGCGTCGACCTGGAGAATCTGTCGTCTTACGTTGCTCTCCCGAACAGTTTGACACGTCTCTAAACCTGCTGGCAAATTTAAGCTTACATAGAGAATCGCTGGCAAATTTGGTGAAATTTGATGATCTAGATGAAGCGTCGAGAAGCGTTCTAACGAGGCGAAAGGCTGCGGTTTACAAGTTACATACATGTTACATACAAGTTTATACATACATACAAAATTTCCATTGTGTGTATCGCATTGGAAAAAGATTTTACATGTGCACATGCATATACTCAGGTTATGAGTCCTCATCCTCCAGAACCTCCAGAGCTGGTAGTTTCATAACAGCCATGCCGCTGCAAGGTTCCTGCATTATATTGTCGCATGGTGGTCGGTGGTAACCGCCGTGTTCTATGAGGGTTTCTACTCTTCTCAAGTTTCAAGAGTATTTACTGTTAGGAGCATGCTGTTGAGTAGTTTTGTGATAGAACATTTTTTTGCAATAGAAGTAGAACATTTTTCGCGTTCTAACGGCTTTATCCAAAATGCTTTGTAGCTTCGTTACTGATAACTGCTGGCAGCTTTTGTAAGTAGCGTCCTATTGAGCTGAGTAACATTGTTTTTTAACGGTTTGCGTGATCTAGGCATTTTGGAAGATGATATATCATCTTCTCGAAGGACTTGAAGGGTGATTTTAAGTATTTTAAAAATATCTCATTAGTGTTTAAGCAGTTTGCTATTGACACGATATCAGAAGGTTCGTTTGCATCACATAAGAGTAGAACAGAGATTCCTTGGCTTCATTTTCATCATTTCATTCAGGAATCCGTTCTGTTTGCGAAAGATTGAAATCACCCAAGTATTTACATTTGTTTGCTTAAATTATCTTCAACTTTTACATCCTTTTTTTTTACATTAATTGCTTGGTATATTTCTCACATCGTATGAGTTATACACGCTGGGGTCAAATACATACAGATGGAAAAATTAATTTATAATTGTTGTTTTACGTACAGTATCTTATAGACGAGAGTAACTTCAGTCAATTATTGCCAACTGGTATTTTTTATGTGCAAAAAAGTTATGTTAGTTTGTAATGTTGTGCGTCTTGGAACACTGTGCATATTGAAGCGGATCCCTGTTACGACAAACAACCTAACAAAGTATATCCGAATATACACGTATCCCAATTGAAATCGATTTTTTTACATGTTGTCTTTCTTCTTTGAACTTCCAGAATTCTATACTGGCTGCTGGAACGAACGGGAGCGCATGTCAGCGTTGGATGGGAAACTTCCCTCTGTCATATATTTCATGGCTAATGTACTCTGGCTTACTAGCATCCAAGGTTGTTCTGCTCATTCAGATGGACATTGCGGTAAACATACCAAATGAAGCATGGTTAGTACAAACACTGTAACTTATATTAAATTTATGAAGAAATCTTTGCGATTTGTCCTTTGTTAATGCCCGAATGCTATATACACTTGATTACCATTGAGAGCTTTTGCTCTACAAGCTATCTCTGCAGATCGTTTTGTACGAGCTACAAAATTACGCTCTATGCCGGACTGCATGCGCTATTTTTTAAGTAGATCTGAATTGATACAACTCATTCGGAAAGAGCTGAAAATAAGAATTGGCCAACAAATAATGTACAGGAGCGAAAGTGCGAAAAAATACATTAAAGACAATACGCACTAAATATAAAAAGCATGAAATTCAGGGTAGTCAAGTACAACTTTTCCAAATTGTAGTCTGTAGAAATAAGGTCTAACAAATATGGTATCAGAGAGCCTTCAGTGGTTGACTCTATCCACTAATCTTAGGTGCTTAAGGAAAAAACACTTCAGTCCTGATCGACAAGGCAGGAATTATAAAGCTGCAATGGAAGGTATTTGCACTAGAACACCAAACGGACACCTTAAGCTTTTGTGGCTTTTCATTTATTCTAGTGCGACGTTTTGCCGATTCGGTTGCACTCTTTTTTTTAATATGATCGCCTGTGATTATCGTAGGAGATCCATTTTTTTCACAATTGACGATTTAGTGGAGCGTGGAAGTAAAGCGAAGCAAGAGTCTCTAAATTTTTTTATTTTGATCCAGTTCCAATCATGCAACATCTACTTGTTGTATTGTACATTCACAATTTAACCGCAATAAATAAATATGGTGTCTCTGTATACACCAGACCTGAATCCTAACACTAAGATAGAGTGACTTCCATTGCACGCTAAAGTGGTTCGTCTTTGCCTTCGTAGAAGGTTTTCCAGGAGACAAAATTTAGAGTTAAAATTTTCTTCCAGGGTTTTTTGAACTAATGGTCCACGATGCTTTTGTACAATAATATAGAAGATAATTCAGCAAGGTATATGGGAAGATCTCTACCCCTGTAGTTTCGAAATAAATTCATACTCACAAATCATTCTAGTTTCTATAGCTCATAGTAACTCACTAAAATCCCAAGTGACAATGTTAGAGTGAAAGATCTCATATTCCACAGTACTAGAATCTCGAAAATAAAAACACGTTGCGAGAAGTCATACCCCTTTTAAAATGCGGCGGATCTTTTAAATACGTTTTAGCATCTTAGATCAATCAAAGCTTCTCGCATTAATTCTGCACGCTTTATTGCTACAATCCTTTGTGTGCTACTCAATCAATGTTCCTTTTTCTTTTTTTTTTTTTGGAAATCTGTGTCAGTCGATTTCATAGTTCTTTTCTCTGTATTCTATTCAGTTTCAGATTTGCTCCTGTCTGTCTTATAATTTTACATTTCGATACGATGAACTCAAGATACTTTTGTAATTTGGAAAAATATATAAGAAAATTGAGTCGTACAAAATGATATAAATTAACAATAGGTTTATATAATAATATAATTCTTATAATAAATAATATTAAAACCAGATAATTTGTTTATCTGATTTTATTTATTTTTTATTTTCTATGTATTATTTTATTTATTAATATTTATTATATCTAGCTTTAAATAGAACCATTTGCGTCATGAGTTCATCCCTACTAAGGTGGGTGTAATACTATGGACTAAGATCATTGCTTTTGCGATTTATGATCCTCTCCAATTTTGCAAACAACCTGCGCATTCTCTCATCATAGAATTGTGATTTTTCAAGTCATGCTTATGAAAGAAACAAAATAAGCATAAACTTATCCTCCAACCGCAAAACAATATAATACCTGTAGCAGAAGTCGTCTTATTTCGCTGATTCTCGGAGGCCTACAGGATTTCAAACACAATGCACTCATAGTTAAACAGGCAGCTTTCCGTCGAAAATTTTTCATCACCGACATCTACCAGTAGACAGCCACAGGTAGTACTACTACATAATTTGTTGTGAACACATTTGTATGGCTATCTTTTTTTCCTCTACCAGCTGACTCTCTAACATCTACAGGTATTTTTTCCATTGTGTGGTAAACGCCTTAGTCAGAAGGTATGTCTTTGTCAGCATTCTGAAAGTGTTCAGAGCTTTTCGAGGGGAGACTGTAAACATTAAGTGAAGACTGTCTTAAATTCAGAAAAACGATATAAGAGAAGTGGAAAAGTTTTCTCTCTCCAAAATTTATTTCTACACTTAACATCTGCTGCACTGCATCATGACAGTTTTTACTCAAATGCTGACGTGTGAAGTTCTCGTGTACGTCGTACAAGGTAGGCATGTTGATAGTCTTGTCTAACTGCTTCGTGCTACTGTAAACTTCATACACAGATTATTACTGACCAATATTATGGTTTTGACCAACGTTGTGCGGAAGTAAGTTATTAAAAAACACTGAAAAATAGAAGACGTCGTGCAAGTTAGGAAGTGAATTTAACATTTCGGCATCACGTCAATATAGAGGCGCATGATCTACGCAATACACAAAAAAATAATAGTTGAAGTTATTGCAATTGAGACGTAAAATGACGCTGATTACCTGATCGGGTGCGCAAACAGGCCTAGAAATAACTCTGTGAGGATCAGACTAAATTTTCAGCAGGCTTCACCGTGGCAAGTGTGTGCAAGGAATGTCACCAAGTATTCAGAAGAAGAAATTCCCTGAAGTAAAAGAGGTGAAGGAACTTTACGGAATCGCTCTGTATTGAAAGTGCTGTTTGTCCTAAGGATACCTAAACAGTGGGTATGTAACTCTGATAGACTCGGAAAGGGGAGACTGAGAGTCAACGCGACGGAAAATGTCTTCCTGGCTTGCAGTACAGCCAAGCCAGCATACACGCATATTTTATCAGATAAAGCCAATATTGATTTGAATAGAGAGGCACTACGACATTCTATTGACGACGGCGGAATGAAAAAAAGGCGCCTAATAAGGCAGGTACGGAAAGAGCTCGACAAAGCTTTCTAAGAACTAGAAAACCGTATGTTTGTTCGCGATAGGAAAAGTTCCAAACAACATGGGGAACATAAAAAATCACTAAAAAAGCCTAACCGAATTGCGGATATTTTGATAAAAAAGAGAAAAGCGGACCAAGATAGGGAAACAGGAAGTCAGAGAGAACATATAGCAACGTTCTGTCGTGGATGTCCTAAGGTTATCGATAAGAAAGAAAAATTAGAGAAACAGATTTAAGATTTATTATGAAAGTGAAATCTACATGCGATGAGGCGATTGCATCTCGGGTTAAGGAATGGCCAGGTGAGGAATATATGAGAACAGACATAACACGCAGGTAAAGCCTTACAGAAGACAGTGAAGCTGGTTCTGACCGCTGAAGGATGTAATAGGGATGAAAGGCGGCTAGGGCTCTTTAAAACAAAGCTGTCGGGCATGTTAAATTCAAGACCCTTACAATCCTTTTAATAGGAGAAATGTGGTCGCCATGAACAAGTCCCAATACACGGCACTGAATCTAACGCCAATCAAGATGTTTTCATATTTGTTGTTGTCACTAAGGTCTTTGGAAGCCGAAACTAGCGTCACCGATGCGGTCCCCGAATTCTATAGGAAAGTTAATTGACCCTAAGTAGCAGATATAATTTTTGCAGGGGACCGTACTAGGCATCCGCTTGCCTGCCAAGGTAGCTCATATTGAAGGTAGAATTTTCGTAGAATCTCTCCTTGGAAATTACCCACTTCTGTAATATGCATAGGAGACGGCAGAAGCGTTGATCAAGTTAAAGAAAAAAGGGAGGCAGAACTGTAGGACTGGCTTATATGCAAATACGTCACAAAACATTAAGCAGACCTTAAACTAGGGCTGCCAGAAGGTCAAGGCTGCCAGAAAAAAGGGTTCTATAGAGCAAAAACAGATCTCCTGCATGAAGTAAAAAACGTTTCTAACACTTACCCGGGATACCGGCGCTAAGGCTAATGTGGGCGCTTGAACCGAAGGGAGCTCATTGACTTCATTACAATTTAAAAACGTACAGAGGGGTCCAGATCAGGGAGAGCGGTGGCTCGGACCGCACTGAACAGGCGTTCAACACGCTAGCGAGGTGGCGAGTATGCGAATGTATAATAGTTGCATATCTCCAGTTAATTGATGGCGGTGAAAAACTCATCTTTCACGGAAAGGCAAAGGAGGCTTACATAGAACTGACAGTTTGTATGGGCCAGACAAACTAAAAGGATGGCAAGGCGCTGATGATCTAGAGAGCTTAAGCGATCACAGGAACTTGATAGATGCGGTTAAAGTGAGAGACGCAGCGAGTTCAAGCGAAGCTCTTATTGAATAGGAGGTGACAGTCAGCCCAGAGACGTTGTGGAAATGCTGGCGACCACTTGCAAGACCATGAAGACTTCAGCACATCCAATGATCATAAGGTGTAGGCCCAAGTACTGGTTGTCAAAAAATATCGCGGAAGTTAGGAAAGCCTGTAACATTTTGTAACAGGGTAGGAGGAAAAGCTTCAGTGGAGTCTAGAGGACATTCAGTGAGCTTTAAGAAGCAAGAACCAGCTTGTGAAAAGAAGTTGAGCGGAGTAAGGAGAAGCGTGCACTTGGAGCACTCATCATGAAAAGACTTACAAGTGAAATGGTGGAAAAAAAGAGCATTTGCAGAGCTTTCGTCAACTACGTTAATCCTCTGACCACATATATTTTCGAGTGTACCTTTATGGAATAGAAAAATACACAGGTATAATTCATCACATCTAAGGTGATGAGATCCAAGGTGAGACGGTGTTACTCACGTCCTGAAGCACTGCACATTCGTCAAGAAGAAAAGGGAAAGAGCTAAAAAAAAAAACTAACTCCCATGTAGAACCGACACTCTGGTGAATTATATGCTTGAGAATGAAGAGAGCTGGATTGCAGTATCCGAGTGCGTGAATAAGGTTATAAGGTTCAAGGAAGAACAGGAGTTAGCAAGGCAGTGACGGACAGCAAAACATCTAGTCGTCTTAAGCTGAATGAAAAAGTGGGTTCTTTGTAAAGGTCAAAGTAGTAGGTAGTATTATAGCAAGTACTGGCTCAGTACCAAAAAAAGAAATGTGAGAATTTAATGGCTTGTACACTTACGAAATGCTGGCTAAAATCTTACATTACTAGTGGAAATACCTAGATGTGAGATCCTGCGTCTGTAAACGATGCATTAACCCCTCAAAATAACGTAATATTGTAGGAATTTAGAGATTATATTGGGCATCCCCTACAAGTATTGCATCCGCTCTATATTACTTAAATTTTGGTGTGTTCTTTTACTTTAACAGATGTCAAACGAAGATTCCCCAAACTTCGATAAGGCGTATTCGTAAACTGTATAAAAGACTTGCTTCATCTTTTACATAAAGGTACACGCTAAAGCAGTCAGATTAGGTCAAATATTAGCGGGCTCTTTGTTCTGGGAAGCACGCATTAATGCGCTATTTTTGGTACTAAAAGAAAGCCAGTTGTTTGGAAAAGAGAGCAACAAATTCGTCACTGGGTCGTTTTCGAAATTGCAACAAAGACCAGCTATTACCGTATGGGTTTGCGCTGGACAAAGTGTTCACGAGACAATAAACTCTTTAGGTTGTCCCAAATCGACGGTATACCACGTCAAAAATGAGTATGCGTCTGTAGAAGAATCAGGCTCTAGCATAGCAGAACAAAAATGACAGAGAAAAAAACAGTGCGCACCTTCCAGTTAATCAATATCGTCCAAAAGTGTATTTCGTTACGAAAACGTTTGATGTAAATATATGTGATGAAGAAGAGATTCGCAAAGTAGCAAAGAAAACAGTCGTATAAGCCTGTAGAATTTTATCGAATTATCCGTTTTTGTTATAATAGGGTCTAAGAAATAACGTACAAGAAAGATACCACTTCCTGTATATACACATAAATTGGGTTGTCGAAAAGATATTGGCCATTTAGAATTAGAAATTGAAGAAAATGTTTATATTTTAAAAATATATTACACTTCTGATTTTTTGGTAATACAATAATTTCATCACTGTAAATTTTCTATGGCTTCTGCGCGAATTTGCGAAATTGAAATTCTGTGGCTTCTGCAAAATAGTCAAAGCAATTGTTGTATCCCTTTATCAACTAACTACTAAATTAAGGCAGAGTCGCACAGACCGAAGCAGATACTGCCGGAAAACGCTGTGAAAGCATTAGAATTTCCTATTTAAGTTCTCTGAATTGAAAGGTTAGAGGTATATGCAGTGTGTAGTTATTATGGTGGAAAACGATGCCCATTTTTTTTTTTTTTTTTACTAGTACCGGTTGATTTTTTTCAAGCGCTCTTGTAATTAGTTTAATTGTTGACAGCAGAGGTTTGAATCAATTATTTTGTCAGACGGTACCGGCTCATAATGCACGATTCCCTTCAGAATTCACCAATGACATAGTATCACCTTCTCTGACGTTAACCCGGGTTTTGCCACGGATTGTGGAGCACTTTTATTCTTTAACTTGGACAGGATAATTGTATGTGAGGTATAACCAATGATCAACCGCTTTAATAAATAGCATAATATTCATTACTTTCTGTAGAATTTCTTGCGCATGGAAATACGATCAAGTTATGTCTGTTAATTCATGTAGCATCCAAACATAGATCTTTTTTTCTTTATAGCCAGCTTTCTTCAAATAGTCTTATTCAGACTTCGTAATTGGTTAACCACTACGAGGAATATATTTCACATTAAAGTTTCCAGAAAAAAAAGCGACAGAACGATTTTTGCTCGTTTCTTTAGATAACGCATGTGTACTATAAACAACACAATGCTTTTATGGGTATGTGCAACATTTTTGCCCTTATTGTAATACAATACAGGAATTTTTCTCAGAAATTAACTTTTTCCAAGATGCTCTACCTTAAGCCTCAATATAGCACATCTACCACTGCCGAAGCTTAGTTTTCCAATTACTTTCAAAGAAAAGTAAAATGAAATAAACATGAGAGCAAAAATTAGGTAGAGGTTTCAAAACGGTCAAGAGACTCTTGCCTTTCAATATGTTCGTCGTCACAGATATGACATCGTACACTATATCACGCCATACCATATTGAGGAATGTCATTTTAGGTAAAATTAGAGGCCACATTGAATTTCAGATGTATGTATATTTATTAAATGAACAAATTCAAGTTTTGTTGACCTGTTTGTTTTCGGTTAGTAATGCTCGACTTTTCCAAGCATCGGTTTATAGGCATTAACTCTTATATATATAATGTGCTTATTTCTATTCTAGTTATGTGGTATTATTTATTTGTGCGCTATCATAGCAAGTTATTCAATGAAATGTACGAAGTTTTGAAAACTTTTACGTTGATAAGCAGGGTCATCACTCTTTTTCCCATTCATTTTCGGACGGTGAGTTTTTACTCTAAAAATTAATTTTTAGCACATTTCCTTGAACCGTTTCATAAGTTGTCAAGTGTTATTGTCGTCCTCGGTAACTAAACACAAACTTTTTTTCCTATAGGGAGGGACGTAAACCCCATAAGGTAGACCTCTTCATTTTAAGCGACAATGTTTTCATACCTTTTCGATAGTTACATTTGTTACATTTTCCCGTGCGTAAACAGATATAAGCAGCAACTCTCCATACCAAAATATTTGTACATATTACTTATTAAATTATTATTATTTTTAATAAACATTTAGCCGTTATACTAGCATACCAAATAAATCATATTGCAATAATTTCTGTGAAATTATGGCAAATTCTTATAGAAGATTCCATTCTATTGAATATTATATAAGGCATTTTTGAAATTTCGAAAGATATTCTAATTTTTTCTTGCTTTGAAAATTTGAAAGAGATCTCTTGGAACCACTTATCACATGCTAATTCAAGAACATTGAAAAATTGATCCAAAAAAAAGTATACGTACCCGTGGAAATTACGATATCTTCTTCGCTACGTATGGCGAATTACCAAGAGAGGCAATAGTGAAAATTTTATGTTGCATACACTTTTCTATTAAGAATACGAAAAGCGGTGGCAAAAATCGTATCGGTTGAAAAATAACAACGGAATAGAATATAAAGTTCTAACACTGTTACTATTAAGATTAGATGTATCAAATAGTAACTTTCTGAAAATGTTTCGAATTGTTCATTGTTTTTAAGGTATGGATCACAGTTTTTAACATTGGTGATCGGCTGCGCTGCGCTTGTATTCGCACTTTTGGTGGATGCACACGCCCCAGCTGATTCCCAACAGCAGACCTTCATCGTCTTCGTCACCGCATGTACGTATCATATTAATGCAGCGTACACGAAAATCGTAAAGAAGCTTAAAGCTGGTACAAACAAATGGTCTTACAATTAGCTTACATTACGCCAAAGAGTAGATTTACAGCTACCAGGTAATTTTCGAAGACGAACAGATTGGAATTATAAAACAATCGCTGTAGGAGCTGCTGAGAAAGATCGCGTACTCTACGGCAATGATCAACCGTAGTGAATGTAATAGTACTCATGAATAGAAAGCTGTTCACACAACTCGCTGATACACCGACCACTTAAAGCTTTCCTAGACCTTATTTCTAATGATACTGACAATTTGATCACGAGTATTGATGAGCATCTAGCATCATGCAGTGTTTAAGTTTTATACAAGCCGATTGTAAAGCAACCACCCTTGATTTGGTGCTCATGGACTGGCAATAGCTATTTTTCCACTGAAACTCTACTTTTAGAAGTGATTCCAGGTATTTTCGAAGATTGTTGTTGCTTTATTCCGCATTGCTATGTTTAGGCCTATTTTATCGATTGGTAAACTGGGGCTGCAATTCCTTTAACTTTAAAAAAAGAATAGAGAAAACAAAATCTTTGTTCAAACGCAAGCAAGCGCCTAAACGTGCTAGATAGGATAGTCCTCCTTGATCCACAATGAATTTGTCGAAGACACTCCGAAAGTCGTTACACTATTAACATACTTTAAAAACCTGTACATGAAACTAAAAGGCCATCACATTCTCCTTAAGAACATCGCATTTCTACGCATAAAGGTCACTTAATAACACTTGAATCCGTTTGGTCAAGGTGGCTGACTCTTTCTGATCGAGCTACCAAATCCTTGGGGGTTCCTCGAGGCTTGTCTCAAGGCCTTGTTTTGTATGCAGTATTCGTACAGTGGCGCGTCGCCAAAAACTAGGCATTACCTGAAGAGGCACTTTTATCACGTTAGGTATAAGGATTCAGGAATAGAGAGGACACAAAATAAATGGAAAAGGCCATTAACGGCATTTCGTTTTAGTATATGGCAGATCGAAGGGAAAGATAAGATCCCGAATTACGTTGTGCCAAAAAATGCTTTATTGTTACACGTTAGCACGATATCCCATTTACGTTAACAGGCTATTAAGGAAGCAGTTCACAATAATTCTGTGGTTCCTTTGTTATATCAGAATATATACTTCATATCCCTGTATAGATGCACCTTTTATCAATTTTGTTTCGACGTGTGCAGAATAAGATTGTATAAAATGCCTCTCAACGCCGCAATATTTTCGGAATATAAACAAGTTTTCCTTTTAGCGTTGCTGAACTTCAACGTAGTCCCAACTACTAGAGTACTCCATAGTCTCGTTTGAAAAAGTAAACTTGGTAATTTTAATTGAGTCTAACAAAATCATTCGAGAAATTACTCTTCAATTCAGCCATTCGAGGTGGCGGCTACCTGTATGTTATGTTTTAGGCTGGCTGCTTTATAAATAAATAAAAGTCCCCAATCCTATTATTCCATTTTTATACGTAAAAGCGCTTATTGCGTTGTGTGGTCAAACAATCTCAATTTTTTTTTTGATCACTCATACTAGCTTTCCCTCTATAGAGGTGTCGATCTATTGGGTCAGACAGCGCTGAACTCCTGCGAGCTGAGACAGTCGAGTTGAAGCTTGCTCCTTTGTAAAACAACTTTCGAGTAAGAGTTAATTAACACATGGTAAGACCCTGTGTGTTTTCATGCTGCAATATACCTCCACGGGCCAATCGAGACGATTAAATGTGACCGTTCGGTCGGTTTTATGTGGTGAGCATTGATAATGGATTTTTTAGTTTATTTGCACGATCTGGATGACGCTGTAAGTCTTCAAAATATCGATAATATTATTAATAACTTTCAACGTAGGTGCTGCCCTTGTCACTGTGATATTAACATGGACTCCAGCGAATATCGTTAACTTTTGTTAGCCAGGTGTAGGTCAGGCAATGCGGTCTGCTACCGTACCAACGGCCTGTCATCGTACCTTAGCTTTAAGCTCTAAATTTTGCCTTTAGCTGATTTAAGAATATAAGCGCCCCGTGGCTTTGATGTTAGTATTTGCCAAAGAAAGGCTAAACTGACTATGTTCACTTTCTGCTTCAGTTTATAGAATTAATCCGTTGCGTTTGTCATCAACAATCCCTAAACAAAGGCTATTGTGCTGGAATATTCTACACTGTTAGCCCATACCGCATAAAAAGGTATTAGTCCTGTATCGGCGACTCCACGAATGGACGCCGTTGATTAAGGCCTAACTTAGTCGCACCGCGCCACTGCCTGTGTTTCTTTTTTCTCTCCTTTTCCATTTAGTGGAACGCATTGCCCCTAGCAGTACGGCGGTGCCTTTGGAAGGGTTGGACGTTATTTGATTCTTAGCAATGTTCAAAAGTGAGTTATCTGGTAGTGTTTGCAGCTCGGGTCCAACCCCTGGACTATATTTTTGCTATGCAGTATATAATACTCGAATCATATTTTCATTCCAAAAATAGGGAGTTAAGAAGTTCCGCATTTATGTCGGAAGTAAACTTATTGAAGTTTCACACTGCGATTAAGTTAGCATCTTGGGCCTTTAATGTTTGCATAAAATACTTCAGACCACTTATGTGCGATCTATATCATCTCAATGTTCATTAGATTACTTTATGAAATTTTGATGGTACCAATTGTAGCTCGTCACACTTGAGAAGAGAAGCATATGTAATGTTAATTATTACTTTAACGCTGCCAGTTTCAGGCGTAGATGAATACCGTTACAGGTACTATACGCATCCTGGTAACTTTTACGTTGCCCAACCTGGACAAATCTGCCAGTGCTTTTTCGTAGCGCACTCTGCAACCACTGTATTTCAAAAGACATCTTTAGATGTGTGCGTAACTTAAGCTACACGAGCGAGATACAAACGTTTGGTAAATGTAAATAAAGGGCAGCAGAAGCTTTTACTTTGTTCACGATGTGAAGGGAACGAAAATGAGCTCAAGTGGTCTCACTGCTCTCCTCTAGGGTTTGGATGGCAAAGCATATTTTGCAAAAACAAAATAAAATTTCAGTTTTCAGTAAATAGTATACTGTGTGCTGTAGTGATGACGCACTTCTATCGGCATTAATGTGATTTACTCGTACGACATATATAACGATAGACTAAAACAAACATTAGAAAATAAAATGACGTTTCCTCTATTGGGTCTTTGCAAAGAAGCGAAGTGCGTATTATAACTGCTTTCAATGAAAGACAAGAGTGAAATAGAAATCGTGAGACCGCATAACATGTGCGTGTTTCTAGATTAAGGAATTATATTTTATGTGCAGTCTAAATTAACTGTTATTAGTGCTCCGTGCTTTACATGTTGTATTTTAAGTGCGCCATCCAGAACAGACGGGTTAATTACTGTGTATCAAGCACACGCGAGTTCAGGCGCATTTACGTTTCTCTTACGTGGAAACCATCGTAGGAGCTTTTTTTAGTTTGTGACTAACCGTGGGAAATATCACATTTTATAATGTGCTGCTTGGCTCATTTGCGATTCAGATCTGTAGCATAGATATTGTACCAACAACGAAAATCCATGAAGCTTAAAACTTTATGATCGATTTACGCAATTTTACAACATTTTCATATATAATAAAGCGACCCAGACTTTTCTAAAGGTACAACTTCGGTGTACTGCGAAGCTTCTAATATGGGTTTCTGTATTTCGCCCAACTACCAAGCTGTCAGCTAACTAGCTGTAACAGAATTTAGACAAGTCAAACATATTCAAAGGCCAATAAGTAACGTCTCGACCTGGCGTGAACGTACCGAGATATATTTTTCTTATGCCCAGAGGTGTTTGATGTTGGTTTTCCCGTCGAACAGCCTTCGTAGCAAACTCCTATTGAACTCCACCAGTTGAAAAGATCTACGGCTATGTACACTACATTTAGAATTCGTAGAAACTTCGGTAGGAGCCTCGATTTCAAGGTATCTATCTAAGCTGCCGATCCCATATGCAATCATTTAGCTGTAAATCAACAATCAAGCATATTTTTGCTCGAGTGTTTCGATTGTGCCTGCTCGATACTCGCCACAAGCCCACTTAGTCATTGGATTTTTGCTTAATCTAGTTCTAATCAGCACACTGGGCTTGTGCCTAACGAATGCTTGCCCAGTGACAAAACTAATACATAAAACGAATTCTTTACTTATTGTTAACCATGTACTGGAGTCCCTTTCATTGTAAAACATACTCGTGTAAGGACTACTAGCTAGATCATGAAATCCGTTTAGGTTAAATTTCTGTTCTACTTGGTTTGCCGCTGGGGAAAATGCATTAGGTTATAGAAAAGCGGTACTTTCATACACCCGAGCATTGAAGTCTCGGTAATGTGGGTCAAGTTTGTTCAGCTTCTAACTACGGTCGTGCAATTATACTCGAAAGAAGACGGAGAATCAAAATGACAGTATTTAGCATATAATTTTCTTCTTGGCTTGCTGGGTTTCCTAGAGATTACGAGTCCGCTTAACATGAGACTAGACCGGTCGGATCCGTCCGTATGCCAAAGAATTCGCTAAATCATTACTTGTTTTACTAGGCCAACAACCGGCATTTACATTAGCCTGTATTGGCGTGCCATTTAATTTCTAAGAATAAATCTTGATCTTTTCCGGCTTCAGCGACGACTGGAGGTGCAAGATGGGTTTCCTACAAGACTTCTGGTACCATAGGTGGAGTTACCTAAACAGTTACGTACGATTGGTTCTCGGTTTCTGAAGGTGTTTTGTTCGTCCGCCATATAATTCCAACTTCACTCCATCGAATTATAGTTTATTATGGGAAACTGTATTTAATAAAGTGAACACATTCAACTGCTAAGGGTACATAAATTAATCCAGCAAAAATCATTCGCATCGTCCTTCTTGTTAAAATGTTAAATAAATGAACAATATATTTCTGTTAGAAAAGTTGTTTAGTCTTAAAATAAGTAAATGACCTGAACAAAAGTCCGGTAATTGATTTAATTTAATTTGAGGCAAAAACATTAGAAACACTATTTTAAATTATATTGTAGATAAATCGTGCGGCATGCAGTGCCGCGATAGCTTGACGTACAAGAAGCCCTGTTCAATAATAAGTTTAATAATAATAAGAGTACTTAAAATCGAGTTTAAGAGCTTGCAGTAAAATTCAGCGAAAACTTATTACAGGTCATTTGGAAAAAGAGCGTAATAGATTATGCCGTAGATCAACGATAATTCACAGTTGCAGGTAGAAGTCGCTGCAAACGTTTTGATTAAGGCTGAACATAGGTCGCTAATCTTTCTTGTTTGTCCGTTTTGAATTTATCAGATGCCTCTGCGGAGATTTTGGATGCTGTCACTCTATTGAGTTTGCTTTTCCCAGGATCTTGCGATCGTTCAAGTGAGTTAGGACTTGATGATATTATCCTCGGATTAACCTGTGCCAATTTTTTGTTGCCTACTCTCTCAATCTATAAATTGGCCCAATGTCAGTTCGGAGCTGAAACGCGCCCTATTGGCATTAAGGTAAGGTATTACTATATATTTACAGTTGTGAAGATCATTGTAGGTGGATTGTTATGGGTGTTTACTAGAAGTAGAGGATACTGAAGTCAAATCACCTTTGTCTTCTGCGAATATAAGATATTTAATAGATAATACGCATGGCATAAAGAAGCGAGATTCAGTCTAACAGTTGCGGAATTATTTTACGACAATATGTGTTCAAGTATTACGCAAGCTCCGAACCCAGTTTGTACTACAGAATCTACCCACCAAGGACGGCTTGTGGAAAGATGAAAGAAAACTGGCTAAGTCGATAATGGGCAACACTCAGAGTTCTCAAATCGCTTTAATATAGCAAATCATCAAGACTATTTAACAACTGAATCGAAATTTAGCTGTCGATCTTTGGCGTCGTACGGTAAAGTCGTTGCTTTGAGCTGGGAATTCACGACGAAACTGTGCTCTTTCACCACCATTCCTTAAGGTGCGGCTTGCCTAATAATCGATCCCAAAACACTTTACCTTGAAGAACGAAAGGCTTTTACACTGGTTTGTACAGGCTAACTGTACTTTAAGGCTATGTCACGTTGCATAGGGTTTATGTAAACAAATGAATTATCCAAAAAGTTATCGAGTCGATTAATTGCGACATGTTTAGTCTATTGTTCAATGCTTCGGCATCCGGCTTTCTTCGGATACCGAAGCGTATTGCGGCAGACAAATAGACTAATTCTAATAAAGATAAGGGAAAAGAAGACAAAAAAAAATATATATATATATATATATATATATGTATTAACCATTAGTTTTTTTCTGTATCTAGCGCAGTTGCTGCATCGACTTCTGGATCTAGTGGCGATTAATGGGCCCTACCTTGTTATTCGGATGTATCTTTGGACTCAATTCAACACGGATGTATCTGTATTTCTCCTTAAGAACGTCATTTTTTGTTACGCCCATATTCGCTCGTTTGTGCCAAAGTCCCGCGAATGGGTCAGTCACCTACGGGCAGTAAGAGAAGGTTTACTGAATCATAATCATCACAGGTCTTTTGATGAGACCAAAGACAAAAGGACTATCGCATAGAATAGCAGTATAAGACAGCTGGTCTGACACTACAGATGACCCCTAATCGCACTGCTTGCATGATAACCGATACAGAAAAAAGACGTATATTCATGAAAACCCTTGCGTCATGTCACCTTCGTCAAACTATCTTTACATCGTGACAAGTGATATGGTTACTGAGCATTGATCGTATATGTACCTAGGATTTTTCAGCAGGGCTCCCTTCGGTAATCACAGATATATAGAAATAGAAAAAAAATCCTCAACTATACAATTCCAATTTGTTACACTATCTTTGTCGATTGAAGTAGCTGAAGGGTAAACGAGCTTAAAACCTTTACAAATCTGAAACCTTGAAGATCTGCGTACCAATCGACTCCAATCAATGGAAGTTAATTAGGTTGATAGCTAGACGAAGCGTAACATCACGATATAGCACAGCACCTTATAAGTTATTGTATATATATAGAAGTACTATTCTATTCATTACTACTTTGCTAAACTGTAAGTAGAGCGATTGGGGCACAATATTATACTTGTGAAATTTTAACGGTCTTAGATATTATCTATTCCTCCAAGAAATGCAAGCACGATGAATGATTGTTTTCTTCTGTAGTTGCTCGTGGCGCGGCTGGATTGGTAGGTGGTAGTTGCTCGTAGCAGGCACCCGGGTTTTTAACTCATTATTTCGCAAATAATCTTAACAAACTCGTGTAGATGTATAGATAAGAATTGCATACGTACCTACAAACATTGCCTAGGATTTAGTAACTACATGCAAAATAAGCAACTACATGCACGTGTAGGTTGATAGTGGAGGTCTCATATGTTTAGGGTACTTAGATGAACAATTTTTTTCTCGTAAGATTACAATTAAGTAGGATTTCGATTTTCTTGGTAGGCTTGATTAGCTCGTCGCCATCACCGAACCACGTCAAGTGTAATATATGTGTATCTTCCTAAGACATTCTTAATAAGACAGCATAAGACGCATAAGTACGACGGTGATGCGCATCACTCGCATTATGTTTTTTCGAAATACTGTAATTACAAATCTACTCTTGAAGAATAATCCACTCATTTTCGCGTTAAAGCGCTTCGAGATTCAACTTATAGAGTCCCATCTGTAGAGAAACAAAAAATGGGTTCATGCACCGTAGTCTGGAACGAACTTTGAAATTCAGTGAGATTAAATGTCTTGTACATAAAACTTTTTTTGGTTGCGCTGAAAAATATATTCAAAAGGTTAAATGATCCAAGCCCAGCTATCCTAAAAGAATATGTTGGGAAATGTCCTTAATTTTGATTCCGTTTCGTTACTTTGTTATGCAAAACTGCTTCAGGTATGCTAACATTTTTAGGACGAGAGCGCACTTGAGTGGCGGGGCAGGGCTTTCTTTGGCAGCATTTCAAGTTGGCCCTTTCTGTAAAATTTTTGAGCCTCCCTGAACAATGAGGGATGACCTTCGATGCGAGAGTGTTAAATCGTTTTAAGGAATCACTAATGTTTAGAACACTACTTTTTACAAAAGATCTTTGATTTCACAAAACTCGCGTAAGTTTTCCTTGCTGTCTTTCGACCCTGTAACTACCAGTTTCAGACCTTCATGTTGTGTCGCGAAATATAGTTATCGATTAGTTATGCTCTAGGTGAAGAACTACAACGCGCGTTTAACGATAGTTAGTTTGTATGACATTTGTAGCACTAGAGTTTTGCAGGTCACTGATCCCATATTAAAGTCATGGCGGAATGATGCACTATAACACCTCTAGGTTAGATCTCGGTATCAGAGTAGATACTCAAACTGGTATACTTCGCTCGCTATATGGAATTCTGGTAACAAACTATTTTAATTTTTTATTAAATTTAACTCTCTATTTTTATTAATCACATTTTAACCCAAATATACAACTATTAAATCATATACTACCATAAAAATTAAAAATTTAATCGAAATCGGATATACAAAACAAAAACACGGCATTTTCAATCTTTCTGCTAAAAAACAATGACATTTTGAAGAAATAAACCTTAAAAATTATTAATCCTGGATACTACTTATGACAACTTGTGCAAGTTTATTACACGGTCTCTAATAAGATACACAAAAAACACATGTTTGTTCAAGGACAACAGCGACGACCGAATGAAGTATATCCTTCATGCCCTAGCAGAACGTCCTAGCAAAGATCAAGTTAGTTAATAAGGGTTTAAATGAATAGATTTAAAAATGTCTTAACGGTAGTTAGAGACAAGCCCCATTGAAAATTTATTGAAGTTTCACGTTTCCTAAAACTCTCTTGCTGTCAAATCATATAAGCTTGAAAAGCAAAATCTATGAAAAAAAATTTATTGTTGGTACAAGTTTTTGCTAGTCTCGAATCACGTTTTTGAAAAATTTCATTTAAGCCCTATTACGTTTGGATAACGTTTGAACTCTCTCTTTCTGCTGTTTTGTAGCAGTGTGTATGAAAAGAACAGCGGATTTTACAATGCTAGTCATACTGGCTAGAATTCAAGGCTGTTGAGATTTCAGGCCTTCAATGGACTGAAAACGGTATTTATTATCCTATGAGATCTATACATGAAATCATAAGATATCGAGGAAAGTCTTGCCTTCCTTCTGTGCAAATGTGTTAAATCTGAACTCCACCAATATTACTTAAGAAGATACAGACGTTAAAAAATGTTTACTTAAAATATTAAAGTTCAAAATATTCACATTTTATCATAACTAGGATTCACGAATCAAATGCTGGGACTCTGATTGTATTCCTAGATACTGCTTTTCTATGGACAGTAAATCGTAAAAAGTCAGAGACTCAAAGTGAGTCTCTGACTTTTTACGATTACGGACTTTATTATTAAGTGTATAGTAGTAGTAGTAGTATTAAAGTACCTTACTCAAAAAATATTTTTACCCTACTTCTCAAATCTTCAAAATCTTCTCAAACCTTCTTCTTCAAATAAAAAAAGGTAGCGCAAAAATTCTGAATCTAAAGTAAAATTTCTACTTAGATTACGGCTTACCTGAAAAAATCGGATTTCGGAATTCTATATATTTTTTTTATAAGGAATTTTATAAGGAGAAGAAAAACTCCGGTATATTCCCCTTCGGTATATTATTGTGAAAGTTTAATTTAAGATTTTGTTTATATACAACACAGCTTGGCAGCCAAATACACCTCACATTTTACTCACCTAGACATACTAACATATTCGAGTCTAGCACCTCACCGCTAGATGCTGCAATGTTTCTCAGTCTCCTGTTTTACGCAGAACTGCTTACAGGTTAATTCGTGTCTTTTTTATTTCAACACTTCTTATTATCAGTATCTCCATGTATATCGTTAAAAGTTATATGAAAACCAATCGTTTATTTCGCAGCACTTAAAATACTAATAACAATAACGTAAAAACGTTTATTATGAGCGCGTAGGCTTCATGGACATTATACTAGAATCGCAGTGAAGCCATATGATTGACATACGCACCACATAATGCTTAAGATACATGTATAGAATTACTAAAGTTGTATTGAACGCGGCCGGTATTTCTGGCTGGTACTTCAACCGTAGTTTATAATACTGTATAATGAACAAAATATTATGAAGAGAAACTGTTCTAAAAAAAAAACTAAGGACGATGCTGGGTCGCATTCTCAGCGTACTGGTACCACACCGAAGTCCATCCAAAGGGCGCAAATATAAGCGAACGTCTCGATTGGTTAAAGATTTACAACACGATCACCTGTTACTGATTTTTGTGGTACGGGAAAAATCTTACCGTTTTGCGTAATAAGATAAAAAAAAAATATATCTTGTAGGTTACATGTATATATACCTTAGTTTGGTATCATTTACGCCGAGAGCTAATTACGGATTACGTAACCCTTTCTAACTATTTTTTTTTTTTACTGAGTTGTATATACGCGTATTTTTGCTCGAGATGGTATGCTAGCACATAACCAGTACATAACATAGGCTAAGTCTCAATATGTAGAAAGCATGAAAATGCCGGTTTTCGTCACAAAATTATTACGATTCGTAGATTAAGAAAATGTACTGTTCTATAGGCGTGCAATGTTTTTATCATGATTTTTAGTTTGAGATTCTGCGTCAAATACTCAGCGGTGATAGTCTGAAACGATAGCGGACGTAAAACCTACTATTTTAAGCCCGTGGTGATGAATGTATTTATCAAGTGAAATGCTAAAACCCTCATTTAGCCTGTAAGTATGTCTCTTAATACCAATAAATTGTGTAATAGTTTTAGTTAATTTAACTTTTTTAACATATATATCAAATACATTTTCTACTCTGATTTCTTGTAGTGTTGGATATATTGTCTGTCTATTTATTAAAACTGCTACTACTATAAATACTACTAAACATCTTACTTATACACATATATATATATTCTAGAGTAATACAGGTAGCTGTGGCACTGACACTTCAGACCACCACCCGATTAACCTTGCCGAGGTCCCTCTTAGGGACAGGATCGCGGAGGAGGCTAAAGCCAATGATTAGGGGTCGTCCACTAAACGCCAGCCGACTAACCGAGTCCCATACTGTAACTTTAACGATTCGCTCGACTTTGAAATCGAACACAGACCCTATACTTATCGGCAGCTACATAGACATGTATAACACGTATGAACTCCCATCGTGCAACACAGAACAAATAAAGATTGATAGTCAGTCTGGTGGTGCCGAAAGCCTCGCCTAGCAGATCGTTACCACATGCTTTTATCAAGTTTCAATAGGGTAGGCAAAAGCAAACCGTATTGTGCTAAATTCAAATGCTATACATATTTCTATATCCGCTGTCAGATTGAAATATATCGTACCAAGATGTCGAATAATCGTTGTACGGAAAGCGTCACTTCAATAATGCCAGTCCTTTACATTAACCAACAGAGCAACGTAAAAGTCATCTTATAGCTAGTATGGATATTTTGGCTTCAAACAAATAAACGTGTTTCAATAACGCTAAGATAAACATTTTTTATATTAAATTTTATGTAAGAAGAATATTCTCAGCATCGACCGAAAGCTGTCGATATGCTGAATCGAAATTTTCAGTTTTTGGTTCCAAAATGCTGTTCGGATAGTGAAAATTTGACATGGAGTTCTATGTGACCGTATTTTACCGTCAATCTATAGATCTCGACGAGCTTAATAAAAATGCAGCATACACCCACCGAATTTAAGCAAGAACCGCGAATACCCTATTGGTCGTATCGGTTTGCCTACGCAATTATCGAATGAAAGCGTTTTTCGAAGTTTCACCCTACAGTTTTTTTTTGCTAAGTAGGTTTCAATTAGAAAGCTGAAGCAGCTGTATGTAAAGCTATTTTTCGTCGATCTAAAGAAAATTTTTTTAGGTTTTGGTGAAGCTGCGTTTTATTAAGTGTAATATGTGCAATTATAAAAAAGCAAAAAACCGTTAAGCTTTCGTAAAATCCCCGGAGCCAAATATATTACTAGCGAAGCTCTGAATCAAGAATACCTCGCGTTTAGTCATGGGGCATTTATTTGGCTCGTCGATAAAGCTAATTGAGCCGTTGTCGTATGTTAGACATTCACAAACGTCGTTGTAGAGATCTTCGTTGCTTATTTAAAAGTGGTTCATAGATGCTTACAATTGTTCATTCCGTTTAGTGATGTCGTTAAAGGTCGGTTTTTGTTTTCATAGAACTCTTGTAGATTTTGTTAGAGTTTTTTTTAATTTGATCTGAATATATATAAGAACATTCTGATAAAGCTGACTTCTATGGTCGAATTGAGCGATAGAAAAAGTTCGACAGCCTGTCTTCACAATTATAATGTTAAGCCACTTCATTATTGAAAAGGTTCGATAACGAGTTAGCAACTGCTACCATCATTATTGTAATCCTAAAGAAATCGTGAATTGCCTAAGGCAATTAGCTCAGTTCTTCGTCCTGTACAGTCTTTTACTAATAGCTATCATGGCGAGGGATAAATTTTCCGACAAAGAGGCCACCAAAATCAATCCAAGCTCGCTTCCACAGTTTTTCCTCTAAACCTGTGTCAGTGACCTCTGCAAAATAAACTGTCGAAAAAGTGCAAACATCGCAAAAACTGACAATTTTGCTAAATCAACATTACACTCTGTCAGATACAAAAATTCCAGTGAAAAAAGTATTCATCTAGTACGAGCACCTCTTCGCTAAATGAAATCCTAGCGGGCCAGCTCAGCTAAATTAGCTAATTTTAAGAGGCCAATTTAGGTTGGATTCATTAAAATAACCTGACGGGCTTTTCTTCGTCCCACAAAGTAAAAATGCTTTAAGGGCCATAATAAGATAGATATCAAAGAGCAATCCGTTAACTGCAACATATATTCCGCAATTATTACTTCCCGATGTGGTCGGGTAATGTCGAAAAGATGTTGGTCACAAATGTTCAACAGCAGTTGCGCAAGACTCTAGAATGGACAGCTGCTACACAGAAGTATTATGTACTGTTACCAGCGAATTAATGATATTCGTTCAACCGTTCCCATGTCACAGGCTTGGATGATATTCTAGACCTACACAAACGAGTGCTGAAGGACCGATTCAGGTGCAGCATTCAGACAAACATAATGCTTGCTAGTTATTGTTGAAGCTCCCGTTGACTACGCCCGCGCATAGATATTACAAATTGCATCCTTAAAGATTACACCGGATCGAACCTAAATTCCTATCCAAATATACAGGTTTCTTATTGCAATTACCCCCCAACTTTACTAAAGCCGTTACTTTTTGATAATCATTCTAGGAACTTTTATATATATATATATATATACATCTAGAAACTTGTTACATAAAGCTAAACCAACTTAATTGTTTATTCTTTTGATGCAGTCGGTCTATGCATTTATTGCGTTGCGGTAATCCTGCTCCATGTATCCTTATTTTCCAATTCTCACAGTGCAATTATTTTATTATGTTCTTATGATATTAAATTGGAAATACAGCCTATTGAACATGTTGCATATAGGTACCTTTACAGACTTTACTTTTTTGATACGGTTCTACATTATTTCTGTTATCCCGTGACAATTATCCAGTTATAATAATCATTTACATTTTTGATAAACCTGATTTATTATACTGCCCTTGTTAGTCCAGCGCAGTTACTCTATAACCCTGTTTCAGTAATACCGTGGTCACGTTCTTTTATTTTGTTCCAGCAGTAAGTAGCGATTCTGGTGGTTATTCCTTTTTCCCTTTGGCGTGTACTAGTAGACTTCACTGCACATTAACTTGTGAATAGTACGGTCTTCCAAAAACTGGAGTTGAATACAGAAGAAATAAGTTTAGAAAGAAAACACCTTCTAGTGTCAACTACACCCAGTGATTAAGTTTTTGTTCCTTGAAAGCTTATTACGCTGTGGGACTTCGCTAAAGATTGGTAAATCGGGGAAGGAGGCCTTAAGCACAACGAGCGGTTTCAAGAACGGAGGCTGGAGTTTAGGAGACCAGCCAGGAGTCGAGCAGATGTCAGGACCCGAAAGACAGTAATGCACTTGAGAAGGCTTTGCACGAATGAACAGTTTAGGAATCTAAAAGCTCTATCGGCCACAACCGCCATTTCTCATGCAACCTATTACGGAACTATAATCTGTGTACTGAAAATGTGGAAATTCTAGTAAAAAAATAGATCCCCGTGAAACGATTCCAGGCCAACTGAAAATACGTTTCGCGTATTGCGCATGCGCAATTTGCAGAACCTAAATTTTCGAAAACTCACTTAAAGGACACGGTCGCCATAAACCAGGCACGTTTGAGTCTCTATCGCCAGCTGAAGAGGTACAAAATAAAAGAAAGGTGTCGTATTGGAGAGAAATCGAGCAAAGTGGCAACGTCGAGTAGGTTCAGACGTAGCATAGTATAAGTACTTAGAACAGACATCAAGGAGAACTGCTACTTAGATCCTTGCTGAAAATGAAACAATGAATTCAGCCCGCTACCTCAAGTTCCTAACAAGATTAATGGATAATCCAAACGGCAATCGAAAGCACGTACGCTGGTCCTTCGGGACCAACTCAAGATCTCATCGCCCTGCTTCCAGGATATAGCAGATGAATAACTAACGTTCGCTTTAACCGGTTCATTTTCTCGATATAAGTTCTTGTGATTACAAGGTTTTCCATGTCCAAATAAATATAAAGAGTTTTTTTAGATGTGAAAACGCGAATGGTAGGTATATGGCTAGAGTACCAGACAACCATATAAAAAATACCTTTAACTCGAAAGCTATTCAATTCCAAAATTAAAAAAAAAATAACAACCTAATAATTTGAAGAAAAATTTTCGCATAGTGTAAGTTGAGTAGGTTTAGAATTATCTCCGAACCTGGAATTTACCTCAAACAGTGTACACACCAGTCTGAGATCCTATCGGACCTCGTGGCCTCTTTCAATAATTGTCCCACTTGAACTCGATTTTTATTTCACTCTCTGTTGCATATGCCTTATCTATTTATTTCAATTAATCCTACTCGCGTGTCGTCGTATCTTGTTCCACCATGAAATATACTGCAGCTAGGCTACAGGTATCTTATTAGTTTGTTTAAACATTTTATTCGTATTACAAATGTACCTCGTCAAGTATTGGTCAAAAGAAAATCGACCAATTTATACGCTTCGGAGTGCGGTCTCAGAAGTTTCACGCGGCGTAAATTGGGCACAATTATTTACGTAACATAATTTTCGCGTGACAAATCAAGCACAGAATTCTCGACCCTGGAATTTCTTCTGTTGATTGTGCAATCTAATGTCGCGAGGCCATCAGTAATATAGCTTATATATGACCGGCACCACCTCAGTGTCAATTTTTAAGTCGGCCGAATGTGGGGCTCAACTCTGACGATTAAGCTTGCTTCCGCTGGGATCACTACCCACTAATTCTCAGTTGCTCTCTAAAGCGTCGCTTCGAAACTGGGTCTGCATTTCTGAAACACTGACTGGGATGAGTAAGCGCCAAATATGCCACCAGCATGTAAAGGGTTGTGCCTTCGGTTCTAGTTCTCAAAAGAGCCTCGCCTATCCTTTTAGACACGCAGCACGATGTTGACTCAGGCTGAAAAATGCAGCGCAATAGCGACGTGGCCCATTTAGCCTTGTTATCATCGTCACGCTCTCGTCATAACTTACGATTACAGTGGACTAACCTTACGCCCTACAAAAATTGAATTTTTCTTTTTATAGGTAGAATACTTGTCCGATTGACCCCATCTTTTGCACAGATTTTCCAGAAGGAACTCTAGCGACCCATAAAAATCAACCATAAACATGTCTTCTGAAGGATCATTTTGGGTCAGCAAACCGGCACAAGAGTTGTAGCCCGACAAACAGATTGACTAATTTAAGGAAATATGATCATTCTAACTGGAAAGTTACAAACGGGGTAATAAGTATGATATAACAGGATTTGAGGAGAAGTGCAATCGGAGGACAAGTATAGGTACAACATATAGTAATAGCTTATGTTAGGTAGTAGGGTGTAAATCATGTACTAAAATTGACCGATGATATTGTTAGAAGATTAATATAGGGGAACCAGTTACCTGGAGCACGGTACTTAAAACGAGATAACAGATCGATAAAATAAAATGTAACTACTGTGATGGGATGATTGCGACAAGATAACGAAACTGGTGCTTCAGAACCTCAAACGATTTGCGACGAGATAACTGGGAAGTTGTAGGTCTGAAGTCTAACTTCGGTTTGGCTAGAGGTAGCATGACTCAAATCGCTTGTTGTTTCTTTTACTATGGTACCCGTTCTTTAAATAGTTCTTCTTGAGCTGGTTTTGCTTCGAATTCATTATGTATGTCTATAGAAAAATTGTAAGAGTTAATGTAATTTATATTTGAACGTTTTCAAAAATTTCTTTCTGACAAAATGTTTACATGTTTCAAATGTTTACATAGAAGTTTTTGTAGGAAGGG